AGCAGAATAATATCACCAACAAACACGCTTTCATTTCGATTCGAGACAGTATCTGGTTATTTAATCATAATAGATGCATTATTTAGAAATTAAGGCTTAACACACACTGGCTTGAGAAAAACACACTTTAAAAAAATATAAAAATAATAATAATAATGATTTGTTTTCAGGTTCTTAGTGGAATGAGGCATATATATTGTGCATTTTGTGTTTGTGTGAAGGTACCTGTTTGAGGAACACCTGACAGTACTGTCCCCTGAACTCCGGGCCCTCCACAGACAGACACTCTCTCAGAGACCCAGGTCTGTTCACGTTCCCTCCTTCAACATCACTGCCAATCTTACCAAATGCATCGTACACTACAACAACAAGTGGAGCAGGAGAGAAAAAATTAAATCACAATTAAAAACATCAAAATACGCTGTAAAAAATAAATAAATAAATAATAATAATAATTATATATATATAATAAATAAACAAATAAATAAATAAAATAAAACATTGATAAAGAGAGATAATAATAATAATAATACAATAGTAGTATACATAATATTAAAAATAAATAGTTCCAAGATATTTGACATTTTCAAATTTCAGAAATCAATACTACTATTACTATTTTAAAGAATTTAAATTGTATGTCCAACATGATAACTCCGTATTAAACAACACAATTAAGGAAAATAAAATAAACTGATAAATAAAGAGAGAAAATGTAAAAACAACATAATAATAAAGAGAAAAAATGCTAAACAATAAATATACATAATATTAAAAATATATAAAAAATGTTTTTTAGATTTTAAATGATGCGTCTAATACTATGGCCCGGTTTCACAGATAGGGCTTAGGTTAAGCTAGGATTTGGCCATAGTTAAATTAGGCCATTTAAGTAACTTTTATAAATATGCCATAGATAAAAACATTACTAGTGTGCATCTTGAGACAAAACAATGAATCGGACATATTTTAAGATCACTAAGTGCAAGTTTCTTTCAGTTGAAATAGCCCAGACATGCATTTTAGTCTAGGACTAGGCTTAAGTCTTGTATATGAAACCGGGGGTATAACTCAATATTAAATAATACAACTAAGAAAAATAAACTGATAAAATATTTAGAAAATATTTAAAAACAAACAACATAATATAAAGAAAGAAATTATAAACAATAAATAATAAAACACAAAATATTAAATTATATAAATAATTGGTTTTTAGATTTTAAACTATGTGTCAAATATTATAGCTCAATATTAAATAATACAATTAAGGAAAATAAAACAAACTGATAAAGTGAAAAAAATAAAAATAAAACAAACAGTTTAATGAAATAATATACACAATATTAAAAATAACTATGTTTCAATTATGTAAACAATGTTTCAAATATTATAAATATTGTTAAATAAAAATGATTTGACTTTAGCACAAACATTTTATTTTTACACCTCAATCTACAACTAGAAAACATGACCCCCATTCATGTATATGCTTAGAAGTATGCTTTAGTAAAATCTGGCATTATTACTTACTCAAGACTGCATATTTGCTTGGAGTATCTTTCTGTAATTCCATAAGGAACGCTGTTGTGTCCTCCTTGCATTTTAGCGACACGTTCCAGGCACATGCAGCGTGCCAAACCAACAGGTACATCAGAGTGACAGCACTCAATGTTAACCGTAGCATCTTGTACAGTGTTTCATTTTGGCTGTTTCACTGGTTTAAATATTATGAGAGCAGGACACATGATGGGAGAAGAGTTGGACATGTGACCTGTCATACTCTCCCACCATTCAAAATGACCATGGAAATCAAAACGCCACGCTGGGATGATAGTCTGGTCACCACACACTCAAACCCAACACAGTCAGCCTTTTACCTCAGGGAGGCCAATAAACAGCTCAACAACACAATATTTGCTTTGTGAATGTGGCCTCTGCTCTGAGCAGAACAGTATGATGTCAAATCTAGATATCAAAGTTTAATAAACAAGACCAAATTATCTGTGCTACACTATTCGGATTAATTTTTAATTTTCAACAGCTGTCCATTTCAGTAGAAACAAAGACGATATTTCAATGAAACCTAAGTGAGAACTCCATTAAGTCTAAGAAAGAGAAATATTTGCCAAGATATTAAAGCAAAAAATTCACATGGAGCACTTTTTACATGGAGAGAGAGAGGAAATTCTATAAAATTCTATAAGATATTTTCTCTAATAAAAGCCTCGGATTTACAGTGATTAATTACAAATTTGAAGTCACTGTCACCCTTGTCAACATGAACGCACCAATCACATCGCGGCATTTCACAATGGTCCCTTATTCTGAGAATCTTGACATTCCCTTGTAACCATGGCGACCAAGACCAGTGGCTGAAAGGAAATTGCTTTCAGGCTAATTAAAATGAGGCAGAGCGAGAGCTGATTGAAGCACACAAACTCCACACCAGTTTAGACACGTTAGATATTTGTTTATGCATAATTTATTAATGATAACGTTTTTTGCACAAACAAAGTCTACCGAACATCAGCAAGACATTCTATAAAACAGAACAACCACCGTGAATGGCTTCTCTCATGCACATACGCGTCCTCAAGGAAAAGAAGAGCAAAATACTGAGTTTCCAGGACAAATGAAAATCGAGAACTAGTACTGAGCTCCTCATGAAGTGAAACGCTGAAATTAACGGGTTAGAGAGAGAGAAAATGCAAAAAAAATTTACAGCTCCTTTTCACTTTTTGACCAAAACATTCATTTATAGTGAAGGCAGCTTTTTTTATCCCTTTTTCACACTGAGTCAGTGGAACACCAACCTCAAGAATTTCCATAACATGCGGCTCTAAATATGGCAGCCATATCACCCTGTAACCCAAGACGGGTCGCCCACTGAAGCTAAGCAGGGCTGAGCCCCGTCAGTACCTGGATGGGAGACCTCCTGGGAAAACTAGGTTGCTGCTGGAAGAGGTGTTAGTGAGGCCAGCAGGGGGTGCTCAACCTGCAAATTAACGGGTTAGAGAGAGAGAAAATGCAAAAAAAATTTACAGCTCCTTTTCACTTTTTGACCAAAACATTCATTTATAGTGAAGGCAGCTTTTTTTATCCCTTTTTCACACCGAGTCAGTGGAACACCAACCTCAAGAATTTCCATAACATGCGGCTCTAAATATGGCAGCCATATCACCCTGTAACCCAAGACGGGTCGCCCACTGAAGCTAAGCAGGGCTGAGCCCCGTCAGTACCTGGATGGGAGACCTCCTGGGAAAACTAGGTTGCTGCTGGAAGAGGTGTTAGTGAGGCCAGCAGGGGGTGCTCACCCTGTGGTCTGTGTGGGTCCTAACGCCCCAGTATAGTGATGGGGACACTATATTGTCAACAAGCACCATCCTTCGCTCAACCTGTGGTCTGTGTGGGTCCTAACGCCCCAGTGTAGTGATGGGGACACACTATATTGTCAACAAGCACCGTCCTTCGGATGAGACGTTAAACCGAGGTCCTGACACTCTGTAGTCATTAAAAATCCCAGGATGTCTTTCGAAAATAGTAGATGTGTGACCACGGCCACATGACCACATGATGGCCTCTGATCATCATGGCCTCCTAACAATCCCCATATCTGCTGATTGGCTTCATCACTCTGTCTCCTCTCCACCAATGAACTGGTGTGTGGTGGGCGTTCTGGCGCACTATGGCTGCCGTCGCATCATCCAGGTGGATGCTGCACACTGGTGGTGGATGAGGAGATACCCCCTGACAATGTAAAGCGCTTTGAGTGCCTAGAAAAGCGCTATATAAATGTAATGAATTATAAATAAAAAAAACATGGAGCGTTTGGCTTTCGAGCGCCAGAGGCACTTGACCACACTTTAGTATACCAGCACCTATGAATTACTGATTTCAAAAACAAGCAAGTGGAGCGTCTTACTTTGGAGTTCATATGTAAGGAAGAAACTTTGGTTTGAAATAAAACAGGCTAAATTTACATATTTGATTTGTTTCATTTGTACTTTCACATATCTGCAGGGCAAAATGGGTTTGGATTCAAATTACAAATAAAAGCTTTCCAAGTACCTCAAAATTAAATGTGCATGAATCCGAAATGTGGTTCTTGATAACAGGCCAAAGTTGACACACTGTAGTGTGGTAATAATCCAAAACGCAATCAAACAAACAAGTTATGATTTGGAACAAGCTGCCTGAGAAGAAATTAAGTGAGGAGAATCGTCCGGCTGTGATGACACAAAAGCACATATTGATTCAACACGACCTCTTGGCAGTGGCTGAGATAAATAAAAACCTACTTTCATGTCTTGTTCTTCCGTAGTGCTAAATTATAGTTTTTTTTTTTTTAATGGACGACTAACTCACAAAAAAGAAATGCACCATAAAAAGCTTTCAGGCTCAATTCAACAACCAAATCTTCAGTCAAACGCCATTTTCGGCTGCTTTAGGAGACGTTATCCTGCTTGCGTTGTAGGTTGCGGACTGATTGTCCCTTTTGAGTGCAAAATGTCTCACTGAGAAGTGTAACGGTGACATTCTGTGCACTTTTTTTTTTAGCAGCAGTTCAGAAACTGGGACCGAAAGCATCCCAAGACTGAGACAGCCATTTGGACAGCATCTGCTCCCACGAGAAAACAACGAAAACTGTCTAAAATAGAAAATAAAAAGAATCTATAAAAAAGGTCTATCCAACACGCATACAAACATCTATCATAAAGTATACAAAATGTGTTCTCATAGATAATTAAATACGCATAAATCAGTTTTTAATATATTACACATCTTTAAACACACATTCTGTGTGTGTATAGATTTATACATTTTGTATATATATGTATATATACAGTGGGTACGGAAAGTATTCAGACCCCCTTAAATACGTATGCACAACATATGAGCATACAAAGAGGCCAGAGTGGAGGAATACGACGTCAAACGCTTCTATACGTACAACATACAAACAAATAATTCTTTGCAAACCAACATCCATCCATTAGGGGGCACTACCTCGCTCTTACTTCTCAGCTGCACTCAGTCGTTTGGACTTAATGAAGGCCATTCCATGTGTCCGCATGTGTGTCTTTAAGGCTCCCTCAGTTTCAAATGTTTTTGAACATACTTTACATTGAGTATCCGGGATACCGTCGTTGGCATCTGGGTTGGGCGTGTTTTCTTGTTGCTCGTTGTGTCGCCCGAGCCCTTGGGGCTCCTTCAGCTTGTGCACGATGAACAGGTGTCGGGCGAGGGAATTGTGCGAGGTGTAGCACAGGCCGCATTCACGGCACTGGTAGGACGAGACGTCGGTCTTGTGCTGGGGAATGTGCTCGTGGAAATGCACGATGTCTTCGGTGGTGAAGCTACACACTGCGCATTTATGTGTCTTGAAGACGTTGATCTTTAGCTTCTTCAAAGGCTGTGAGGATGAGCTCTTGGACCGCTGAGTAGAAGTCATCTGTCCTCCGGTCTCCTCCACTTCCTCTTCCCTCTCAGCGTCCTCATCTTCAGAGTGGAGCTTTCGTTTAGGACTGGGGACCTGAAGATACAAAATGGCAATGTTTTATGCAATGCCAAAATGAAAAAAAAAAAAAAAAAAAACTGATAATAAATGTAATGTTATGGCAGATAACTGATAATGGCTGATATTATATAACATTATAATTGAATATAAAATAACTAATATTTAATATATTGTATTATGTTAGCCAGTCATGTAAAAAAAATTTTTTTTTGCAGATTACAATTACCATTATTATAAAGTTATTATTTTTGAATATAAAATTTAAGTGAGCATTAGATGAAGATAAAGGTAATTAGCATTCAATTAAATATCCAATTTTGTCTTGGAAAAAAACTAAACAAAAAAAAACAATATGTACATATCTCTCATTAAAAAAGACTACATCTTCATAAGGTCGCATACATGTTCACACATTCAAACGTTTGTGGTCAGTATATGAAATTGATACATTTATTCATGAAGTATGCATTACATTGATAAAAAGTGACTGTAAAGATATATAGTAGTCAACATTTGAAGTGGATCAAAAAAGTTAATCAAAGTTGTCCTAAGACCAGAATGCATTTTGGTTTTAGGTTTTAGGACAACTTTGATGAAAGGTATCGATCCACTTCAAATGTTGACTACTATATAATGTTACAGAAAAATTCAAATAAATGTTATTTTTTAACCTTATGTTTATCAAAGAATCCTAAAAAAAATCTGCATATTAGAATGATTTCTGCAAGATCATGTGACACTGCAGTAACGGTGCTGAGAATTCAGCTTTGACATCACAAAAATTAATTTAATTTTAAAATATATTAAATTAGAAAACAATTCTTTTAAATTATAATAATATTCCACAATATCACAGGTTTCTTTCAGTATTTTTTACCAAATAAATGCAACCTCGAGGAGCATAAGATCTCAAAAACATTTTTTAAAAATCTTACCAACTCCAAACTTTTGAATGTTTGTGTACTTCTGTCTAATGCCCTTGCAACAGTACCAGACAATAAAGACCCAAACGTGCTCGTCCAACTGTTGGTTACCTGCTCTTTGTCTGGGGTGGCTTCTGCACTGCTGGAATCTACCGGAAGCTTGGCCTCTGTGTCTTTGATGCCATGCATCATCTGAATGTGTTTCTCTAGCAGCAGTCTTTTGGTGAAAGTGCGACTGGGTTCTGGGCAGTGTCTGAGGAAACCCATGAGAAATCTGTTTTGACACTCATAACGGTTTCTGATTAGCTTTAGTGTAAAATTAAGTGTCTTAAAGGGGTCATGAACTGCCTTTTTTATTGTTTTGAACTGTTCTCTCAGGTCCCCTTATAATGTAATCAACTGGCTTTTTTATTGCTGTGAACTGTTCTCTCAGGCCCCCTTATAATGTAATCAAGATTTTTACAACAAAAATATAATTTAGAAGCAATATGCTATTTTCTGTCCTGTTTTTAATGTTTGATTTCTGTGTAGACCTGTGTTGCCTCTCGTTATTTACACTATATGCGTGGAGGCGGTGTTGGCCACACTATTACGTCATAAAGTGACACATTCCACAACCTGTCGTTTTTGCAGACTGGCTTCATTGTAAGCTGTTTTTAGACTAACTACAAAGTTTTGAGTTCTGAAACATACAGGATGTTTTATAGTACAATGACCTCTTATATGTCAAAAGAATTTTGATTTCTCAGTTCATGGCCCCTTTAAGCTTGAAAATGCAGACATGAGGAGCCTGGAATTTAATTCACAAGCACAGATGAAGCAAATGGAAATTTTGATGGGTCTAGAAACACATGATACTCACGGACACGAGTAGACTTTCCGTAGGCCCTTGTGTTTGATTCGGTTGTGTCTACATAAACTGTGAGAGGAACTGAAGGACTTTTCACACTGTCGACATGGATGCTTTTTCAGTTGCTGGTGTAGCAGAAAGAAAAGGATTCATTATAGTCATGCCCATCCATCTGCAATAATGTACATGAATTCAGTGTGGTTCATAATGTGTCCTACAGCCCTGGGTCTCACTCATGAGACTCTAGAACATATTAGAACTAAAACAGCTATATGTTACCTTCCCATGCTCTCTTTTCATGTGAGCGATGAAGACTTCTCTCTGTGTAAACAAGCGGTCGCACTCCCTGCAGGTCCAACCAGGGCAGGAGATGGACAACGGGGCTTTTTTGGGAAGGTCTGTCCCATTACTATTCTTTTTTGTTGGGGATGTTGGCTTCCTCTCTCCTTTCTCGAGGCTGCTGATAGAGACACCCTCTTTGTTGTTGTTATTCGGGCTCATGGAATTAGTAGGCTTGGAGCTGAGAGGGAGATTGATGCCCAGGTTTGGAGGGCCCTCGATGGACTTTAAGATGCCGTGCATGGACTTGTAAGAAATAATCATTTTAATATTAATAAAACAGTAAATAATAATTTAAAAAATCGAATCGATTAATTGCAAACATTTTTGTTTATAATAATATATATTTATTAAATATATACATGTATGTAGGCCCTATGTGTATTTATATATAAAAATAAATATATACAACACACACACACACATATATTATGTAAACACAAACTTTTATTTGGATGCGATTAATCGATTTGACAGCCCTAATATTTATTATTATTTATGTACAGTAAACAAACATTTTAATGTAAAATTAATTTAAACAATTTTAATTCATTTAAATGACCTGTCATATGTGATGGCCAATGACAATTAATAACAATTTTCACTGATTTATTCCCTTACTTTAATATGATCCAGCATCAGCTGCTTTTGGGCGTAGTGCATCGAACAGTCCGGACACTTGAAGACAGACACTTTCTGACTGGATATGTGCTGGTCAAAGTGCGTGTAGAGCAAAGTCTGCTGGGTAAAAACGGTGTCACACATGGAACACTTGTAGATCAGCCTGCAAAACAACACATACCAGTGAAGAGAGCATTTTCTAAAATGCTTCGTTGCTTGTTTTTGCTTGTGTAGGTGTTCATTCCTACTTCTCATTACAAGGTTCAATAGCTCTGGCTGAACAAAATAAACAACATTTTCTTTCTCCCTCTAGAGTAAATCTACTGTTGTGTTGAAGGAATTATGATTGTTGAAAGTGCCACTTGTCAGCTTATTTATGTGTCAAACATCTGCATTAAACGCTCGCATTGTCAATAAGCCAGCCGATCATATTTCCAAAATGGTAACAGGTAACACAGGAAGTGCAAACAAACCATCTGGCCTTTTAATTAACAAGTGCTGATGAACACGACAAGCTTTATGGGGGGTGGTCGGGTTCAAAGAGAGGACACAGTAATTAAAGCCACCGTGCATAATTTCTTTTTGCACCTGAAAAGGTCAGTGGCATATGAGTTCTAAAGGAACAGATTTGACACACCTATTGAGTTTCCCTCCATTCTACTACTAAGAATTACTGCAAGCTTGTTTTGTCATTAAGATGGCAGCGTTTAGCACAAAGCATGTGTGTTTTATTTGAGTAAAAAAACAATCCACAAAGCATAAATAGCCATCAGTAACATCTGCAATAAACATTACACAGCTCTATGAAATACTTGATTCTAATTGGTTAATCACTGAAATCTGAGGTGAAATATTCTTGTATAATGACTGCTCTATTGTATAACTAACCATTTTCCCAGAAAAACATAGCTGTGCGAGCTGCATGTAACAGTTTTTCGTCTCACATAATACAATTACTTCAACTCAAATCAATATTTCACGTCTATCTATTTACTCATTTGGTAAGTAATAAATAGAATATAGGATCTGATGACCCAGATGGGTTTATTTTGGTATAATGAATGGCTATTTATGCATTCTCGCTTACTTAACCATATGGTTTCTCAAAAAAAATTTGTTTCCACCTTCAAGAACAATAGAAACTGGACATCACACAGACACCATTTTAATAATTCCATGAATTTATAAGAAAAGACTCACTTAGGCTCTCCAATTTTAACTCCTGGATGCTGGGTGTAGGCATGGGAATGTGTACTGGGGGCCGATTTAAAAGCCATGGGGCAGATGGGGCATTTGTAGAAGATTTCACAGTGGGATCCCTGAATGTGCGACTTGAGAGCAGCAACGTCAGCGAAGATGACACTACAGTGAACACAGCTAAAAGACGAAAAAGAAAGTGTCATTCTTGAATATAACCTAAGCCTCTTTTTTTGTTTCCGTAATCGATGCCAGTCACCTTTAATGCGGCATCAATCAGGGGCGAATGGCAGAATAATAACAGTGAATAGCTCCATGATTGCCGTTTTGAAAGCATGACGAGCCCTCATTTCATGTTCCACTCAAAACCAATTAAACACTTAGGCACATTTTCAATGCACGTTTTATGCATAAATAGAAGCTTTTCTGTCAACTCAGAAATAATAACAGGGACTAAGGTCAGTAGAGGATACACTCTTTATAGAATGTCGTGATTCGATACTCTCACAATACTTAGTTCTTGTAAAAGAATACCTAATATATCACACTCCCATTTTTTATATCCACAATGCATGTTATCACATTTTTAATTGAATTGTGATCCGT